TAACATCCTCCCTCCTCTTCCCAGATCTAGATTCTGAGATTCACAAGCCAGACCCTGGCAAAGCTGATCTGGCCTTTGTGCCCTGAGCTCAGCCAGTGGGGGACCCTACAAAGCACAGCTGAGTGCCACTTCACAAAACTCAAGTTCCAGAAACTGTGGCACCTGAATTATGGTGACGCCCCCTGTGACCCAGCAGAGGCTCCAGAGAGCGAGCCACATTCATGGCTCAGAGAACACTGAAGAGTGCAAGGAGCAGGTCCTCGGGGTTCTGTAAGGTCGACGGGCACAGGCAAGAGGCAACTGCTCGGTGAGGCAGCGATTCTACTCCTTTTACACCGAAAAGATTTGGATATTTGAAAATTGATATAACTGATATAACTGGGCTTTGGAAGCTGTTTTGTTTTAACCGGTAAAGTTCCAAAGATAGCATCGGGAGTTCCCGCATACCCTCCCTTTGGTTTCCTACAATGTGAGTGTCTTATGTCATGATGGGACATCTGTCACAACTATGGAACCCACACTGACACATTACTTACAACTAAATTTCACAGTTTATTCATATTTTACTACTTTCTCTCTAATGCCCTTTTTCTGTTCCAGGATCCCGTCCAGGATCATTTTCTACACTGAGCCATTCCATCTCCTTGGTCTCCTCTGGTCTGTAACGTCTCTCAAACATTCCATGTTTTGGATGACAAATTTGAGGAATGCTAATTGGCTATTTTGTTTGGAGGATACCCCCACCCCACCCCCACAACAAAACCACTGTTTCATGTTTTCCCACGATGAGACTAATGGTACGGGTCTTGGGGAGGAAGACCTCTGTTAGGATCTGGATTAAAAGTGTCCCCCAAACAACCAGAGGCTAAGGACCCTGTGGCACAATGGAGACACATCTATCTGACTCCAAAGGCCCACATGCTAAAGGCTCAGTCACAGCCTGTGGTATATTAAGAGGTGGGGGAAACTTTGGGGGGGGGGGCTAGTGGGAGGAAGTTAGGTCATTGGGGGCCATGTCCTCAAAGAAGACATTGGGACCCTGGCACCTCCTCTTTCTCTCTCTGCTTCCTGGCTGCTAGGAGGTGAGTATCTTCCTTCACCATTTGCTCCTGTCATGATATACTTTCTGCTACAGGCCCAAAGTGACAAGGCCAAGCAACCATGGACACACCTTTAAACCCATGAGCCACATAAATCTTTTCTTTTGATTTGATTTAGCTCGGGTATTTGTCACAGCAGCAGAAAGCTGACTAACCCAGAGGTGAAGAGCTAAGTTCGTGACATCAAACAGACACCTAACAATATCCATCATTGTGATGTCAGCATTGACAGGTAGGTAGTGGTTGATAGGTTTTCCCACTGGAAACTTACCTTCCACCCCTTCCCAAATTCTACTTTTTGCAAAGAAATCATCATGCGCCATCATTCAGAGAGTGGGGAATTATGCCCCACCTCAAATGGAAGAACAGCCACATAAATTATTTGAGATTATTCTCTATGGGAAATGTGCCTCTTCTCTTATTTACATAAACATGGGCTCACAGATACTTGAGTTGCGCTGACAGTTATAAGGCAATAAGATGACACTTATTTCGTTGCTCCAATCTTCCCAGTTGAACTAATGGGAGCAATTTAAGGATGGCCCCTGCGTCCTTTGGATGCATGCCCTTCATCTTGTGTTTTGAACATTTTCTTACTTTCTGCTTCTCTTCATTTGACAAAAAAAAATGCCTTCTTTAAAGAAAAGGCAGCTAGGAGCTGGGGTGGTGGCTCAGTGGTAGAGTGCTTGCCTAGCACACATAAGGCACTGGGCTCGATCCTCAGCACCACATTAAAAAAAAAAAATGAAATAAAGATATTGTGTCCACTTACAACTAAAAAATAAATATTTAAAAGAAAAAAAGAAAAGGCAGCTAAGGATTGAATTAAAATTCTTACATCGCAGTCCTAGTCTCGGGTACTCAGAATGTGACCTTATTTGGGAACTGGGTCACTGGAGAAGTTAAAATAGGTCATCCTAGAATAAGATGGGCCCCTGATTTAACATGACCAGTGTCTTCTAAGAAGAAACAATTTAGGGACAGATAGCACACAGGGAGAATGTCACCGTGAGGAAGAAGGCAGAGAACAACAGGATGCTTCCTTCCGTAAGCCAAAATGGCCAGCAGCCACCAGGAACCAGGGGCAGGCACCAAACAGGTTCTCCCCAGAGCTTCAGAAGGAACCAACTCTGCTGACACCTTCACATCAGACTTCTAGGCTCCAGAACCATGAGGTGACAAATTGCTGTAGTTTGAGTCACTTGGTTGTGGTACTCTGTTATGGCAGCCCAAGGAAACTAATCCAATGGCTAATGTTACTGAGCTCTCTGCGTTTCTATTAAAAAACAATCCACAAATTGTTTTTTGGTATCCAAAAAAGAAAAGGGAAGAGAATAAAAAATTAAGAGTCGAGGAGCACCCAGCAGACATCTCACAGGGCACACCAGAACCCAGAGGCACGAGCTGGGGATGGCACTATTTGACTTTATATTTGGATGCAAACAAGGTTTGGGGCTGTCTTTCCAGGTTCCTCATCTTCCCTATAGCTTCCAGCCACCTGCGGCTCAGTTCAGCGTTACCTGCCAAGCACACCTGCAAGTACTAGCAATAACTGCCCATCTGGTTAATCACCACCTTCTCCAGCATTCAAAGTACAGATCCACAGAAGCCAAATCCTTCCCTGGTGACCTCCATGGCAACAGGTGATTCCCAGCATCACAGTGGACCTGGCCAGACCATGCCAATTCAGCAAGTTTTGGTCGCAGTTCAACGACTCACCTTGTTCCACTCCCATCTTCCTAAAGTCATGCCAACAAGTAGCCTGGTGGCTTAGAGTTGAGTTGAAGACCACATCACTGTGAGCCATAGGAATAGCAGACCATCATCTAGTGTTTGGTAGCTTTAGTACGATTTCACAGATGAGAGACTCTGGAAGCAAACCTCAGGCTCTCAGAGGAAGGCATGAGGGTCTCCAGGGAAGAGGCAGCGAGGGCTCTCAGAGTCAAGGCATGGAAGAAGCCAGCTAGAAGCTGACCTGTCATCTCACCCCACATCCAGCAACCTTGACGGAGGTGAAATTTAAGCACTTGCATGGGTACGTGGTAGAAATGAACTGGGAGAAAAGAACTGCAGATGACAGAACAGGACCCAAAGTATTTGTTTGGAAATTATTTTCCCCATAAAAACCCTGCTTTGTCTGTATTTTTATGCCTATATTAAAAATCAAAATGAAGTCGTTAGGCTGAGGCCAGCTCAGAAAGCCTCCTGCCTGAGTACACATTCCTCCTGCAAGCCCCAGAGCTCCACTATAATCCCTCAAATTATTAAATAATTACTGCGTTTCCCTTGGGGTCACATTTGGCAACAAAATACTGGCCTAAATGAACCAATGATATGACCCAGTGAATAACACTCATGTTCTTAACTTCCTAGAAGCAAAGGGATACGAAATACTTCTGAGGCAAAACTGGAGAGGTAAGTGAAGTGTATATTCCCTGCCATTTGGAATGTGTGTGTGTTGGCGGGGAGGGGGCACAGAATGACAAAGGAACATACAAATCCAGAATCCAGGAAATACTTCAATAATCAGGGTCCTCTCCCCCAACAACCCCGAACATTAGCAATTTTCCACTCCAGTCCCAGTTCCCTTCCATTTCAGGAGTGGCTACAGCCACAAGGAGAAAACCAAGCATATGGCTCTGTCCTTCTGGACATTTCTACAATGTCAGCTGGGCTGCTTTGGAAAATCCCATTTTATCTCCTACAGCTATATGACCTCAAGTTGTCATTCTGAATAAAGTATGCTTCCCCTGATTTTTATGAACACAGACAAAAGCTGCTACAACCTTTTTTTTTTTTTTAAACCTTGCAAACCAACTGTAGTTGCTATGTAGGGTTATTTGTTTCTAAGGCAACAGCGTATATCTAAGTACTAATGGCCTGTCCTTTTGCCAGGCAACAAACAGCCTTGTGATGCAACTGCACCTGTCTCGGCTACGCGTTACTATGGAGACACTCCAGTTGCTATAGCTACCATCACGCTAATCGCCTAGCAAACGCAGACATACAGCAGTCTTCTCAGAGAGCCCAGCTGTTCCTCCCCGTCTCTTGCTGAAGACTGATTGTCTAGGGCCTGTGATGGAATGCTTCTCGGCTGAGAGGCACAAGAACTTCATTAATGCCATTTTGGAGGATCACTTTGTGCTGCCTCCTGCAGAACCAGCATCAGACCAGGAGAAGCATCTGCGAGAAGGGGACTATAAAACTCCAGAAATCTCTTGACACCATGCCACTCCCAGTTAACATAAACGTGTAGTCCAAGGACAAGTTCTCTTGACTAGGGTAGCTGCCACAAAAACATTTCTATACATACATTTCTAACATAATTTTGAAATATTGAGGGATGCACTTAGGACCCAAGCACCATGTGTAGATAAAATCCACTTTAAAATGCTGTTTCATGTCATATGTCTCTTTCTTTGAATCTAACATTAATATGCTTTTTCCAAAAAAAAAGACAATCTACATAACCCTTCACTCTGATTATATATTTGTAAAAATGGCACTCATGACCTCAACCTCCCAAAACATGGGAGTGAGGAGAGCAGAGGTCTCCATTGTCCCCTGCAGTTCCTGAAGAAGCAAACACCAAGTAACCACAACAAACCCATCACTTAGGAGCACCGTCTACATGGAGACCAGGAAAGACAACAACCCAGCAAGCCTTCTCACAAGGCCAGCAGACCCTGCTCAGGGCAGGGGAAGATGGCATCGCTCGCCTGACTCATTCCTGTATATGTTTATCCCAACAAAACGTGACACCCAGAGATATGAAAGCTGTCAGCTTTTCTTTGTAAATGTTTCTACTCAGGAAGACAATATTTTACCACCATGAAGCCTTCTGGAAACACTGTTCCTCGGGAGGAGCAGAAGCGGTAAGGTTTGCAGGAAATACAACAATGGATATGCCTACTAATAATATTTCATTTCTTTCTCATTTATCTGCAGTTATTTTTGAAACCTCACGCAGCCTATGAAATTAGCTGCAGTGCCTGCCTTTGCCAAAATAAAGCAACTTCAGTAGATCCCCCCAAAAGAAAGAAGGTATTGCTTACCTTTGATATGCCTGAGGAGAGGTGGGAGGTGGGTGGTAAGGTGTCTTTTTCAAAGCCTGAATTAGATTTTGTCTATACTCTGGGTCTATGCACCATAACGACCCTTTCCCAATACTCTGCAAAGGAAATTAAAATACAAAAGCATTAATACAGAAGTGTCAAGTATTTTGCAGGAAGGAGATATACAGCTACTACCCTAGTTATTTTTAAAAAGCTTCTCATTTATTTATTGACTGTTGGCCAGACTTAAATATCATCCTCAGACAACAAAACACCATAAAATGCTTTTAAATCTTCCTCGTATTAAGTTTGACAGACCCAGTGAATGTCATGACCAGATTATGCTGATACAATGATAAAATTTTCATAGCCAAACTACCCCCAAAAGGAAATCCTTTATGATTTTTCAGTGTCAACACTGAACAACAATATGAATTCTCTTCTAAAAATCTTTAATTTTGTCAGATTTCAAATGTTGAAGGAAAAAGAGCTGAGACACACTCAAAAACTATCTCTGCTCTAAAAACTGGAGTTATGTTTTTTACACCACACTGCATCAGTGCCATTTAACAAAAATGGAAAAATTAGTCCACTTGTTTTTTTCTAACTTCTCACAAAATGCTTGGAATGGATTTGAGCAATTATCTTCCCCAAGAAACAAAAGATCCCAGGCACCAATGATAACCCTTAAGCCAGAATCTGGCACTTATTTTTTTTTGGATTCCTCAGTTCACAGCAATCTGCTCCAGCCTTAAGAGTTGAATCTTTAAAGAAGTCAAATTTTAAAATGCAAATTTCCTCAAACTGTTCCGTGGAGATGAGGAAATTGTCCTGGAGGCCCACTTTGGGGCTGGCTGGAGGCATTTGGTCTGCAATCAGCATATTTTTAAAAATGTTAAATCCTGCCTCCGTGGCCACTGGAGCTGGCAGCAGGCCAACGGGCAGTGCTCTGTTCCTGCAAGCTTTCAAGTGACCCAGTGTCCCCAAATTGTTGATGTGGTTGATTTGTAAATATTTACCGATTTGGAAAGAAAAGAAGTTAAATTACTTAAACCTGCGTCCACTCCATGCTTTCAGCCACACACTCCCTTATTTTCACAACTGTTCCACTACAGGAAGATTGGTGCTGTCTTCCAACATTTAGAAAGCAAACAAGAAAAGCATTTAACGACCATGAGGGGAGAGGGGAGGCCTAGAAAATTCCAGAGAAGGAGAGCCAAACACAAGTTATTTTCAAACATGTATAAAGAAGTTTTTTAAATTCTGTGTTTCAATCTTCAATTCACCAAACAGTTTTCTTACAAACCTTATTTATCCACAGCACCCATGAAAATACTATCAATAACACCAGCAAACAGGGCAACCAGAAATCATCAATTTTGCAGCTCTGAGAACAGGGGAATGGCACAAAGCCAGGGTCACAGGCTGGCACCTGGGGCCACCCCAGGCACCCAGCTCCAGCTGCAGTTCCGACCCCAGACACAGGTCTGGCTCAGGTGGGCCTATGTTATGATAAACGCCAAGGTTCCCAGCTTAATCATCTGGATGTTGAAAGCCTGGAAGACTTCAACCATGGAAAATACAACAGTCCTATCCTGGCCTTCCCTTTCATGCATTCATTTTCAAATTCAGAAGAGTTCGGGGACCTGATGAGATTTTCCATATAAAACTGGCAGGCTACCCAGGAATATGCCCCGGAGCTTCCATCTTTCCCTGTGGAAAAAAGCTGTGCAGCACACTTTTTAAAGAAAGCCAAAAGGTAAGGAGTGGGGAGGTGTAGGGAGGGGCAAGGGAGAGCAGGATTTAGCACAAGTGGATAAAGTAAACAAACCGCCAAGGCATGGCAAGCTCCTAGAGCATGGCGGGGCTGGCCTGACCCCACCATCAAAGGCTCCTCTGGAGCCCTGGGCCAGGGGACTTCCCTTCCGGTACCATACAGCATGGTCTAAACTGCACGGAGGGCCTGTCTGCAATCCAAACATTTCTGCAATGAGATTGTCTCACTTCTGGAAACCTAAGAGCTTTGGGTTTTATCACAGTGGCTCTCAGACTAGAGGAATTTAATCTTACACCAAAAATCCAAGGACAAAGCAAAGAAGGACAACTGGCCCTCTCAGGTAAGTAATGATAAGCCAATGGTTCACTATGATTCACTACTGTTTAAAAACTAGATGGAGTAAATCCCCAGATTTGTGCAGAACTGTCACACAGTAACTGATCCAGGTGCAGAGGGACAGGCAGGGAAATGGTAAGAACAGGTGGTCTGGGACCTCAGAAAGTCATGGCTTCCTCACTGGTGGAGACATATACAAAGCCCAGGATGGCAAGACACAAAATCCTACCACAGTGGCTGCAACTTACAGGCAAGCCTCATGTACCTCACCTTTTTTTGTTTGTTTGTTTTTGCTACCAGGGATTGAACCCAGGGGCATTAGACCACTGAGCCACATCCCCAGCCCTATTTTGTATTTTATTCAGAGACAGGGTCTCACTGAGTTGCTTAGCACCTCGCTGTTACTGAGGCTGGCTTTGAACTCACGATCCTCCTGCCTCAGCCTCCCAACCTGCTGGAATTACAGACATATATGACTGGGCCGGCTAACCTAACCTTTTTGACAAAAGAAGGGAGACCAAGTGTGGCTGGACAACGATTCATTAAACCAAATCTGAGGAGGCTTGAGCTCCATCAGTGTTAGGATGAGGGCCCTCCAGCAAAGTGCCTGCATGCATGAGCTGCTGGCCTGGCTTCAGGGAGCTTTCCAACATTCTAAGATCCTCCTTTATTTTTGCACTCCCTCTATCTGTCTTCTCTGCACACCACACCCCAGGCACAAGCTCTCATAACTCTTCCCCTTCTTAGTAAGCCAACATCAGCCATGAGTAACCACCTCCCTTCTAGAAGTTTCCTTTCACCCAGGTCTTTGGAGTGTGATTATCCAGCCAAGGTTTAATTCCAAATTTGGTCAGTACTTGTGGCCAAATGTACTCCCAATGTTCATTAACCAAAGAAATGTTCTCAGGCTTTGGATCCTAAGTAATGGTTCCCACCTTGACCGGTCCTACCGTTTACAGTCACAGGATTTAGGAATTGCTGATATTTACAGACCAGACTCTAATTCAATATATCTCACACTTAGAACGCTGGAATTCCAAAGAGAAAAAACATACAAATGAAATGCTTCTTGGAGACACACCCCTAGGGACTGTCAATGCCAACAATTCCAGGGCCAGCATCAGGCCACGCTTGGGGGGAGCCCCAGAGGAGGCTAGGCGAGTACCTCATTTGCAAGCCTTCCTGGTTGCCTGTAGCAGTTCAGAATAGTAAAAAGGTTTACTTGACAATTTTTTAAAGTAGAAATGTGCAGAGGATAGAGTACTCAAGTTTCTGAGGCTACGGAAAACGGTACTGAATGCCCCTTGCAGGGGAAAGAGGGTGTGATTTGATTTTAGTTGGGCAATAAGCTTGAGACTCGGAGCTTTTACAGAAATGTCTGCATTTCAGATGAAGGCAAGCATGTGCAGTCTTTTTTGTTTGGAATGGAAATAACTATGAAGGCCACGCACCATTAAGTGTTAAGGAATCCACAATAATAAAGGAAGAAAAATGTCATTTATAGATACATTTTCATTATATACTAATATAACATTCACACCCTGAGAGAAAACTAATGTGAATAAGGTAGAAAATGAGGCCAAGTTTTTATTTTATTTTTTTTAATTAAAAAGCACCTGGGGAATAATAGCTCTGTTAATAATAATAATAATAATAATAAAAGTACACAAGAGGAACAAGAAAGAAAGAGGAGCCTATAGTATATACAGACTGAAGTGATAAGTGAAAAAATCTGCAAAAAAACAACTAAATTAAACTCTAAATCTAAAGGTATCATCTTTCCATGGCCTCCAGGGCCCATCCTGTGGTTCATACCTCTATCCCACGTCCCCACAGCCCTTCAGACCTGCACTAAGGCACCTGCTGGTCCACGTGACACTGGCCTCACCTTTGGGTCCCTTGGTTAGACTGAGGATTCTGGAGGAAAGACACTATTTTTTTAAACACTGTATTTCAAAGTGTGCTATGATACATTCATGGGTCACAAAATCAAGAGAATGGGTCACAACCGCTATTTGTTTTAATGGAACAGAACAGAATCAAATAGAATAGTCAAGAACAGAAGAGATGCACAGTCGTGTACTGTGAAATTCGTGTTTGTCCCATCTGGTAAGTATGTGTACACTGAGCCTGGAGTAGCATACTCCTTGCTGGGAAGCTGGGTCAACATTTGGTAAACGCTGGTCCAAGACAATGGATTCCAGGGTTCTTTTCTTTCTCACCACTTCTAGGAATAAAAGCCTCTCCCAGCAGGAATGGAGGGCATACTCAAATGTGAGGCTTAGGGCTGCACTTGAGGAATAGCGAGGACAATAAGGCAGAAGCTGCATCAAAATAAAGCAGGAAGCTAAGTACAAGTTCTTCATGCATTTAAAATGATACCTGTAGCCATGTGTGATGGC